TTTTTAAAAATTGCCCCTTTTTCTTTTAAACAATTCGTGCCCCCCAAGTAACAAACTTTTTGTCCCAATAAAAAAAACCCTTTTTTGTCCCTATAAAAAAAATCCTGGGGTTCCCTCAGTAAAAAATTTTCTGGGGTCCCTAAGTAACAAATACTTTGTCCCTCCCGGGGTAACAATTTTTGGTGTCCCTAAAACAAATTCTTTTCCCTGGGGAACCCAATTCCCTTTTGTCGCCCCTAATAAAAAAATTTTTGGCCAAAAAGTAAAATTTCTGTGTCCCTGAGTAAAAATTTCTGGGGGGTCCTTGGGTAACCAAGGGGTCCCTTTTAACAATTCTGTGCCCTCAGAAAACCCAACCCCCCTTTCCCCAGAAACTTTTCTTTTCCACCCCCTGGGGTAAAAAGTTCTGTGCCCCTGATAAAAAGTTTCCTGTTTTTCCCTAATTTAACATTTTCTGGGGGTCCCTGAGTATCAATTCTGTGTCCCTCAGTAACAATTTTCTGTGTCCCTCAGTAAAAATTTCTGTTCCCTCAGTAAAAATTTCTGGGGGGGGTTTTTTGCCCCCCTGAGTAACAATTTCCGGGTTGCCCCCGATTTAAAAAGTTCGTGCCCTGAGTAACAATTCTTTTTGGGTTCCCCTAAAGTAAAAAAAATTTCTGTGTCCCTGGTAACGATTCTGGGGGTCCCTAAGAAAGGGGATTTTCTTGGGGGGGGGGGGGGCCCCAAAAGGTCTTTTTTGGGGCCCTAAACTCTTGTCCCAAAAATAAAAAGAGAGGGTCGCCCTCTCTTAAAATAAAACCGGGGGGCAAATGGAGAATTTAAAAATCCCGCAATTTTTAAGTTTCCCAACCCAAAATTAACCCAAAAAACGGGTGTTTGGGCGGGCTGGTTTTGTTTTGGGATTGGGGCAAATTTGGCAATCACCAAATGCCCATGATTAAGGGCTTTAAATGGGTCACCCCGCCCCTTGTCCGGGCGCGCCTTCCCAGAGCCCCCCCCCCCCCCCCGCCCCCCCCCTTGCCCCCCCGGGCCCCCCCCCCCCCCCAAACCCCCAAGCCCCCCCCCCCCCCCCCCCCCCCCCGCCGGCCCCCAAAAATTTTTGGGGAAAAATATACAGTAACACGCTAATGACTACACGTTGGCTCGGAATGAGTCATACGTGTAGTGACAGCATATGTGCGGAAAGTCATTTCTGCTATTAAAGTCATTCGGCACGTGTGGCCAAAGGTGCTACAAATCACGGGTGTCAAACTGGCGGCCCTCCAACTGTTGCCAAACTACAAGTCCCATGAGGCGTTGCAAGATGGACAGTTACAAGCGTGACGCCCAAAGGCAGAGGCATGATGGGACTTGTAGTTTCGCAACAGCTGGAGGGCCGCCTGTTTGACACCCCTGTAGATGGTACAGGCCACCCAAGACTTCACAAAGAAGGGTGCTAGCCGGGCAGGGGGCCCCTGCTACCTGGAAACCAAGGATGATAGGTAGAAGGAACAGTCTCCATCTTAGCATCAAACGGTGGTAGGTGATGGGGCAGCCTGCATCCTAGCAACCAAGGATGCTAGCTTTCACTGTGGAAATCAAAGACTCTAGGTGGCAGGGGCTGCCTGTGCTTTAGCAGCCAAGAATGGTAGGCAGCAGGAGCTTATTGCATTCTAGCACCAAGGATGGTAAGCAGCAGGGGACGCCTATATCTTAGCAACCAAGTGTGTTAGGCAGCGGGGGCAATTTGTGCCTTAGCAACCATGGTTGATAGGTGACAGGGGCAACATGTGTCCTAGCAACCATGAGTGTTAGGCAGCAGGGGATGCCTATATCTTAGCAACCAAGCGTGTTAGGCAGCGGTGGCAATTTGTTCCTTAGCAACCAAGGTTGGTAGGTGACAGGGGCAACGTGTGTCCTAGCAACCATGAATGTTAGGCAGCAAGGGACGCCTATATCTTAACAACCGAGTGTGTTAGGCAGCGGGGGCAATTTGTGCCTTATCAACCAAGGTTGGTAGGTGACAGGGGCAACGTGTCCTAGCAACCATGAGTGTTAGGCAGCAGGGGACGCCTATATCTTAGCAACCAAGCGTGTTAGGCAGCGGTGGCAATTTGTGCCTTAGCAACCAAGGTTAGTAGGTGACAGGGGCAACGTGTGTCCTAGCAACCATGAATGTTAGGCAGCAAGAGACACCTATATCTTAGCAACCGAGTGTGTTAGGCAGCGGGGGCAATTTGTGCCTTATCAACCAAGGTTGGTAGGTGACAGAGACAACGTGTGACCGAGCAACCATGAGTGATAGGCAGCAGGGGCTGCCTTTATCCTGGAAATCAGAGACACTTGGCAGCAGGGGCTGTGTATGTCCTAGCTACTAAGGGCTCTAGGCAGTAGGGGGCCATATGAGGCCTTTAAAAGAAGGAAGCTGGGTGGCAGAGGCCCCCTATATCCTGGCAACCAAGGAAATTAGGTGGCAGGGGCAATCTGCACCTTAGCAACCAAGGGTGGTAGGTGACGGGGGCAGGCGCCGCTTGCATCCTAGCAATCGTGGAAGCAAGGTGGACTGGGATGCTTGTGTTCTGGAAACCAAAGATACTAGTTGGCAGAGGCCTAGCAACCAGGGGGAACTGAGCAGCAGGGGCTGCCTGCGTCATAGCAACCAATAGGGTACATGTATGCTGGACGCATGTATACTCAAAATTATTATGCGCACAATGGTGTCTCATTGTTGGTGTCAGTGATAGGATTAATGCCATACTGTTGGTGTCAGGGAAAGGAATGGTGTCTCATTGTTGGTGTCAATGATAGGATTAATGCCATACTGTTGGTGTCAGGGAAAGGAATGGTGTCTCATTGTTGGTGTCAGTGATAGGATTAATGCCATACTGTTGGTGTCAGGGAAAGGAATGGTGTCTCATTGTTGGTGTCAACGATAGGATTAATGCCCTACTGTTGGTGTCAGGGAAAGGAATGGTGTCTCATTGTTGGTGTCAATGATAGGATTAATGCCCTACTGTTGGTGTCAGGGAAAGGAATGGTGTCTCATTGTTGGTGTCAACGATAGGATTAATGCCCTACTGTTGGTGTCAGGGAAAGGAATGGTGTCTCATTGTTGGTGTCAATGAATGGATTAATGCCCTACTGTTGGTGTCAGGGAAAGGAATGGTATCTCATTGTTGGTGTCAATGAATGGATTAATGCCCTACTGTTGGTGTCAGGGAAAGGAATGGTGTCTCATTGTTGGTGCCAGCGGGAGCAATAGAGCCCCAAGGGCAAGCAAAGAGCCGCATCTGGCCTCTGAGCCACAGTTTGGAAACCACGGTTATATATAATTGTAGGCATAGATGAATATCCTGACGAAGCTGAGTGAGATACGCCCATCGGCGAAACGCGTTGACGTCATACGTCAGATACGTCACTTCCGGTCATGCGCACTAAGTGGAACGCACGCTGACCTACAAGGAGGAAGCCATCTTCACATGCCATGAGGCAGGCTTAAGCAGCACAGGCGCCGAGAAGAGGCTGGAACCCGCGGTATATCGGCTGATGTCAGCGGTTGTTCCCTGGCCTCTCTGGCCTCGCATGGCAGTACCTATGAAGGACATCTTTTCCTCTCCTACTATCCATTGCGCAGGTGGTGAGTGGACTGTTACAGGACACTAGTTATATGGTCCTCTGTGATCGATATAACCTATACATCTTACATAGAGTAAATCTCTTCCAGTGACTTTCCACATATTGTTTGTTTTACTACAGGATGGGGACATCATGCTGCTTTTCATAGGAAACAGGATATACCACGTGTATCTCAACAGGCAGAAGATTTATTGGGATTTGTCTTGTTTTCCTTACAGAAAGTGGTGTGTAGTCCACATATAGTGGTGAAGAAACCATTTCAAGCAGTGCTCTGCTATTTGCATCTGTCCTTCCATCCTGGTAACAAATGGGGCTTATTCTCATTTAAGAGCCCTAAGGAAACAGTCGCTTATATTACAGATGAATGGGCCCCAACCACATGTGCCGGCATAGGAATGTACTGCATTTTATATATGACATTCATTTTTTCTTGTCTCTTATAGGCATAGAGGCATGCTTCTCTTTTTGACGCACACTGTGCTTGCTGCACTGCATACATGTGATATTTTATATCTATAGTGTAATGTTTTGACACTCCCTGCTTGGGATATAACCATTTTGGTAGTAGAACATGTCTACATATTTACAACATGTCACATGGTATACCTATGGTATAATTTTTGCATACACCTCCTGTGGGAAGTGTTCACCTGTGAACCAGTGCTACAAAGACTTTAGGCTCTAGTAGTCACTGTCTTTGTTGCACAATTATTTGGACCGGTCTTGGTGTCATTTTATATGGTTTTAGGTCTGTGTGTATTGTCTCATACTGAGGTGATGGTAAACCAGGGCGATTGCCCAAATGTCAAACTTGTATATGTAATAAAGCATAATTTTTGGAAATTTTTCTGATTGTCACACTCTGTTCATAATGTAGCCACTTTCTCTGTGAATTTCTTTTCACAACCCCCCTTTTTGTGCATGTCTTTTTTGGCTACTGAATGGAGGCCATCTACTGGGTGATATGGTAATTTATTATACAACCTCTACATAACTATCTTTAACTAATAGATGAATATTACCCTAAGTAAGCAATGATTGTGATTTTAGTGTGTTTATTAATGCATGCCATGATCTGAAGATTTCATACTGTATATTCAGTGGTGACCTTAATATATTTCGCATTCACCTCTCTTCTGTAATGGTGCTTGACTGACTCAGCCACTAAATGACTGGGCTTATCAAGGGTTTGCATGACAGGAAAAAAAAAAAAATCAATTCACGTAATCATTGACCATTGTTTAAACTTTCAATTAGTGACCATCACTTACGGCTGAAGAGCGCAATCAGAGTGTACTTACTGCGCACTAATGTAGCTTCTTTTGTGCTAATTAATATTTTCTCTCCTTGTTTAGCATTCAACCTTCTGAATTTGAGCTTCTGCAATGAACCACTCGAAGACACGTGTTTTAAACGAATGTCAGAACCACCTCAACTTCGAAAATGAGTCTTCGTGGAACGATGGCGTGGCCTTCAACCGTACCCGTGGGACGTTAAACCACCTTTTCATTGGAGCCCAAAAGCAGGAGCCTAATTATGTGGCCATACCCGCCACCGTCTTTTGTAGCTTACTCTTCTTATTTGGTATTTTGGCCAACGGTATTAGCATCCTTACGCTCATGAGAAATGGAAGGATGAAAGTGAGCGCAGTTCGGTTCTACCTCTTGAGTTTGGCCTTGGCAGACATCTTGTTGCTCTTTACAATCCCGGTGACTCTTTACCGATATTTCTGGCAATATTACCCTTGGACGCTCTCTGACTCTGTGTGCAAATTGTACTTCATGATCCGGCATGTCTACTGTGCTACCACCAGTTGGACCATTATCGCCTTTACTTCCGAGAGGTACTTTGCCATATGCCATCCTATGTGGTCCATTACTGGGCTTCGGAAATCTCGCATGGCGTATTTGTTGGCCTTTATCTGGATTTTATCATTTATCAGCACTATTCCTGTGGCTTTAGTGTATGGAGAGTCTGCAGCCTGTATTTTGGACTATACAGCCACCACCCAAGAGGAAGTGGTACTTGATTCCACCGTGTGTGAGATGCTGGAACCAAAACCCTACATTATATACAAGAGTATCCTGCAAATTCGGAGCATCCTATACTTTGTAGTGCCCCTGGTTACCATCATGATCTTCCACGTGCTGATCTACCACCACCTCAGTATCAACCATCGCCAGAGGGAGAAGATTGGCCTAACAAGAACGCATTGGCGGTTTTCTTCCAAGAGCGTAACTCAACCTCAAAGCCGTCCGCTTTCAGAAAAGAAGGCCCGTCAGCTGATGGGTAGGTGCACTGGGCTTTGTTTATAAGGACGCTAGTTGCTTTACAACTTTTTAAAAATGTCCAGAAAATCTAAGTTGATGTCAAAGTGTTATAATCTATTGTAGGCAGCAGCGTGTTTACCGCGAGGCAAACAAGGTGTTTGTCTACGTTGGCAATTTTTAGGGGGGGGCAGCGCCGCCCCCTGGAAGAAGGGGCCTGGTGAGCAGGCGCAGACTGACCCATGAGAGGCTCCTGGGAGGATGTGGCAGGATGGAGTAAGCGGGTTCAGTCCTGAGCAGCGGCAAACTGACAACTCATGGGGCCCCCGGGCAATAGGGGATCATGGGGCCCCTGTGTCCTTGCCCAAGCTCAAAAAAGCCTATGAAAATGGTACCAGGGGCATCTCATAGGGCCCCCTACTGACCCTGGGCCCTCGGGCAGTGCTGATTTTCCAAATAGTCAGTCCACCCCTGGTCCTGAGAGGAGAGACTAGCAGAGACCGAGAGATCCTGTGGTAGAGGACACTTCCAGAACCAGTGAGAGAACTAATGACAGGGGTAGGCATTGGTTCAGCAGAGGAAGAGTGGTGGTGGGACCTGGGGGGAGAAGGTGTGTTTGGAGGAGTGTGCCAGTGGTGGGCCTAGAGACGGGGGGGGTGGTTGGTAAAGAGTGGTGGTGGCGGCGAAGCCTGGGGTGGTTGGGGGGTTTGCACAATTTTAGTGTTGCCTAGGGGGGCAGCACAACAACTAAATACACCTCTGATTGTAGGCCATGTATTATTCAAGAAATATGATTAGTATCCATGCTTTATTTCAGTTATTTAGGACCTAACTCGGAGAGCTGGTGTCACAGTCAGGGGTCAGGCTTGGAGACCAGTAGGGAAACGCCCAATGACCAGCAGGATAAGTACACAAGAAGATCACCGACCCAAATTCAGCCAATGTGCAAGGTCTAAGCAGTAACCGGTATTCACCAGAGCTCCTAATGGTGGCGATGGGTTTTGCTACATGTTAGTAACTGGTTGAGGTCCTCAGATTCGCCCCACCAGGAGGTGGGCAAGCCGGGGTCCAGTAGCAGATATAGCAAGTAGGGATCAAGCAGAAGCATAATCTGTAAACAAGGTCAGTCATATTTATTGGCTGGTTGGGATCAAGCAGAAGCATAGTCAAGCCAAACGTTAGTAATGAGTGGTAGTGGAGATAAGGACAGCTGCAGGCAGGGGCAGACTGACAACTCATGGGACACCCAGGCAGTAGGGGATCATGGGGCCCCTGTGTCCTTGCCCAAACTCAAAAAAGCCTATGAAAAAGGTATCATCGGCATCTCATGGGGCCCCCTACTGACCCCGGGCCCTCGAGCATTTCCAAATGATCAGTCCGCCCCTGGCTGCAGGTATGCAAAGGCGCAAGATATTGCCTGGAAAAGGGCACAATAATATGGCTTAAATAGGAAGTTCATGGGAGGAGCAAGAAGGTTCAAGGTTCAAAAGAAACAAGGTACGAGGCAATATTATCCAAGGGTTTAGACAGAATGGTGTCCAGTATCTCAGGTGGCTCAGTAAGGAGAGTGACTGCTGGATGCAGCAGAGGTCATGGGTTCTGATCCCGGTCCTGACAGCTGGACTGAGAAAAACAGACCATTCATTAAGCACAGCCTGGATATGTACGGCTACTGCAAGTTAGACAGTAGGGACCATCTAATGCAGTCTTGATGGCCAGGAAGGGGCAGTATGCAAGTACCCCCCATCACCCAAACAAAGGCAAACAGTGCGGGGACAAGGTCATCTAGTGCGCAGGGCAAAGATGCCAAATGGCACCCCCCAAAACTGTAAGAGCATTATGTGTCAGCAAAAATCTTCCCTGCCCCCCCAAAAAAAGAAGCTCTATAAGGGGGCTATAGGATTGCAGCATCAGAACCCCACACTAGCACTCAGTGTCCTCCACCCCTCTCTGCCAATCCCTCCACTAGCCTCCACTCAGTGTCTTCCATCCCTCTCCGCCAATCCCTCCACTGGCCCCCAATCAGTGTCCTCCACCCCTCTCTGCCAATCCCTCCACTGGCCTCCACTCAGTGTCCTCCACCCCTCTCTGCCAATCCCTCCACTAGCCTCCACTCAGTGTCTTCCATCCCTCTCCGCCAATCCCTCCACTGGCCCCCAATCAGTGTCCTCCACCCCTCTCTGCCAATCCCTCCACTGGCCCCCACTCAGTGTCCTCCACCCCTCTCTGCCAATCCCTCCACTGGCCTCCACTCAGTGTCCTCCACCCCTCCCTGCCAATCCCTCACACTGGCCTCCACTCAGTGTCCTCCACCCCTCTCTGCCAATCCCTCCACTGGCTTCCCATTTCCCAACGGATAAGATTCAAAACATTAATAACGTATAAAGCCATTTATAACTCTGCCCCAAATTACATCACCAATCTTGTCTCTAAATATCACCCAAACCATCCTCTCCGCTCCTCGCAAGACCTCCTGCTCTCTAGCTCACTTGTCTCCTCCTCCTCCCATGCTCGTCTCCAGGACTTTTCCAGAGCTTTCCCCCATCCTCTGGAACTCTCTACCCCAATTTATCAGACTATCGCCTACTCTGCTCACTTTTAGGCGATCTCTGAAAACCTATCTCTTCAGGGAAGCCTATCCTGTCCTCAGCTAATAATGGAATCTTCTATTCCTTCTACCAGTCCATCCCCCACAGTTACTACCTTTTGGAGCCCCTCCCTCCTAGATTGTAAGCTCCCAGGATCAGGCCCTCCTATCCCACTTGTATTGAACTGTATTGTTGCTGTATTGTCTCCCGTTATATTGTAAAGCGCTGAGCAAACTGTTGGCGCCATAAATCCTGTATATATAATAATATATTGCTTTTTTTTAGCTGAGTACTAACGAATTTCCTTTCTTCCAGGGGCTGTAGTGGTGGCGTTTTTCCTGTGCAATTTTCCCGATACCGCCTCATCACTCATGCAGATCTACATAGACAACTGGAACACACACATCCTTAAGGTCTACACCTTGCTGAAGACCTACTTATCGCTGCTGCCGCTTTGGTACCTCAACAGTGCTCTAGACCCAATACTATTCTGCATTTCTTCTACGTCGTTCCGCAGTGCATGCTGGGAAACCCTTACGGCTGTTCTGCCATGGCAGGATAAGTCAACAGACGGACCAAACCACGCATACCATGTTTCCTGCGCTCGGTCTGGTGGGTCTTCCCTCGTGTCGGCACCAAGCACCCGGTCAACGTGGACACTTAATTCCAACGAAGGAGAGCAAAAAGAATGCTTCAGTCAACCTCGAACCAATGATCCAAAACTTATTTTCTTCAGGCACCTTGATGTCATGGAAATCAAAGACTACACATTTCCGTAAGAACTATTTTTTTTTTTTTCCACAAATTTTTGCAAGGCTGCCAATATTTTGAATGGCAGAACCATAGTGTTGTGACGAGTTGCTGGAAATGGCTACTTCTGATAAAATTATCCTTGGCGTATGTTTTATTGTATCGAAATGACAACAAAAAAAAAAAATCCAAACTGTAAGCAGCCGAGGAAATGTAATATTCATTCTGTAAGAGGATTATAGAATTAAAGCTCCAAATAAGGCCGGGACTTGAAGGCGGCGTTTTTATTCAGCTGATACCGACGTTCCAGTCAGAGACTTCTTTCAAACTCTCATAAAAGAGGATTACGTGAAATGGTGTGATGGGGACTTAATTGAAAATTAATCTATTGTCACTTTCTGTTATGTTTTGAGAGATACCTTTGGAAAAAAAACGACAATATATCTTGGAATTGAATATTTGTCATCTGTGGGGTATCCTGAATCCAGCATTAACCGATACATATTGAGGTTCGGTCAACGTGTAGCACAGCTGCAAGCCTTGATTGGGGTTCCTCAGGTGGATCTAAGATACCACATCTGTCGCAACTAATGAAAACTTGTATTGAGCATTGTTTTAATGCATATAACGAAACCAAAACAATGCCAAAAATACCCAATAAAAAATACCCAAATCCTGATATCTGAAAATGTCCTTCCAAGTAAATAAAGTCACTCAAAAATAAAAGTCATTCATAAGTTCAAAGAAAAACCTCCATGTTGAGAAACAGCCTTCAAAAAGACTTCTGGGACAAAAACCAAATACAAAAAGCCACAGGGCTTGTAATCATCAAGGCAGGATGATGTCCACCACAGAGATCCTCACAGCCCCTTAGATACACTCCTCTCTAAACACCAGTCTCCATACTCCAAAAACGATGCCCACCAGATATATGGAATAAGTAATAGTGTAAATCCGCATATAACCTTTAAATAATACTTTATTTATATGCTTACATGATTTTCATTTTTCAAATTGCCATTGAAACAAAACCCTAACAGTAATACCTCTGGAGATCCTCTGAAGTACTCCTCCTGTGTATTAGATTGGACTTTCCAGGATCCAAAATGGCTGCTCAGTCACTTCCAGTTCCGCTGTGCATCTGACGTCACTTCCCTTGACGTGTTTCGTCCCACCCCACACGCCAAAGTCCTGGGTGTCACCCTGGACTCCCACCTCTCCTTCCTACCCCACATCCAACTGCTATCTAGATCTTGCAGGCTCCACCTCCGCAACATCTCCAAGATACGCACATTCCTCACCCCAGACACCACCAAACAACTCGTACATTCCCTCATCATCTCACGCCTGGACTACTGCAACTCCCTCCTCACTGGCCTACCCAAACGAACGCTATCCCCACTCCAGTCTATCCTGAACTCAGCGGCTAGACTCATCCACCTCACCAACCGCTCCACATCTGCCTCCCCCTCTGCCAATCCCTTCATTGGCTCCCGATCGCCCAACGCATCAAGTTCAAGCTGCTAACCCTGACCTACAAAGCCATTCACAACGCTGCCCCAAACTACCTCACCGACCTGATACCCCAATACTACCCTACCCATGCCCTCCGCTCCTCACAGGACCTCCTACTCTCCAGCTCCCTGGTCTCCTCCTCCCACGCCCGATTACAGGACTTCTCCAGGACTTCCCCCATCCTCTGGAACTTCCTACCCCAATCCATCAGACTGTCACCTACCCTCCTCACCTTCAGGCGCACCCTGAAAACCCTCCTCTTCAGGGAAGCCTACCCCAACCTCACCTAACACCCGACCTCACCTAACAACTAACCTCCTCCACTCCTCCAGCCACTCCACCCCCACAGCCGCTTCCTCCTGTACCACCTTCCCCTCCCTCCTAGATTGTAAGCTCGAAAGAGCAGGGCCCTCGCACCCCTCGTGTATTGTATTGTTACTGTCTTCTCTCATGTTCTGTCCCCCCTTGCTACTGTACAGCGCTGAGCATACCCTTTGGCGCTATATAAATACTGTATAATAATAATAATCATAATTAAGATCCCTTATGATTAAGTCCAATGACAAAACGCGTCAAGGGAAGTGACGTCAGACGCACAGCAGAACCGTAAGTGACCGAGCGGCCATTTTGGATCCTGGAAAGTCCGATCTTATACACAAGAGGAGTGCTTCAGAGGATCTCCAGAGGTATTACTGTTAGGGTTTTGTTTCAATGGCAATTTTAAAGATGAAAATCATGTAAGCATATAAATAAAGTATTATTTAAAGGTTATATGCGGATTTACACTATTACTTATTCCATATATCTGGTGGGCATCGTTTTTTTGGAGTATGGAGACTGGTGTTTAGAGAGGAGTGTATCTAAGGGGCTGTGAGGATCTCTGTGGTGGACATCATCCTGCCTTGATGATTACAAGCCCTGTGGGTTTTTGTATTTGGTTTTTGTCCCAGAAGTCTTACTGAAGGCTGTTTCTCAACATGGAGGTTTTTCTTTGAACTTATGAATGACTTTTATTTTTGAGTGACTTTATTTACTTGGAAGGACATTTTCAGATATCAGGATTTGGGTATTTTGTATTGGGTATTTTTGGCATTGTTTTGGTTTTGTTATAAGCATATTATTTTATTAGATCATTACACTTTTTGGGGTAAAAGTGTTTACATGCGTTGTGGGATTTTGTAGTACATTGTTTAAGGGGATACCGTATATTGATTTATTGTTTTAATGTAAACTGTGAGTAATGGCACCATCCATTTAATTGGTCACTTCAGCACCCAACTCTCATAGGTCTGGAGTGGGTCAAGAAAAAAAAGCACACAAACACCTAGCGCATTATCCAAGGTTTATTAAAATTTTAAAAAGGACAAAAAACATAAAATTAGCACATATAAAAGCCTATAAAGCCACAGTGATGGGCGAATTGATGGCAAAGTGTCCGACTGGTGGTTGGTGGTTGGCCTGCTGACACGTTTCCCTTTCCTCAGAGCTGACTGAAGTGGGTCAAGCTCCTTGGATTTTGGGTCATCCATGCCTTGATTAGAGGTTTTCAAGTGGCTCCAAGATATCATATCTGTCGTGACGTATTTACATTCATTTAAATTGTGAGTTATTGAACATTATTTTAATGCAAACTGTGAGTAATGGCACCATCCATTTAATTGGTCACTTCAGCACTTATCAGGGGTCCTTGGGTAGTTGTTGGGTCCAATGAAAGCTTGTATTGAACATCATTTTAATATAAACTGTGAGTAATGGCACCGTCCATTTAATTGGTCACTTCAGCACCCAACTCTCATAGGTCTGGAGTGGGTCAAGAAAAAAAAGCACACAAACACTAGCGCATTATCCAAGGTTTATTAAAATTTTAAAAAGGACAAAAAACATAAAATTAGCGCATATAAAAGCCTATAAAGGCACAGTGATGGGGCGAATTGGTGGCAGAGTGTCCGACTGGTGGTGTGGTTGGCCTGCTGACGCGTTTCCCTTTCCTCAGAGCTGACTGGAGTGGGTCAAGCTCCTTGGATTTTGGGTCATCCATGCCTTGATTAGAGGTTCTCAAGTGGCTCCAAGATATCACATCTGTCGTGACGTATTTACATTAATTTAAATTGTGAGTAATGGCACCATCCATTTGATTGGTCACTTCAGCACTTATCAGGGGTCCTTGGGTAGTTGTTGGATCCAATGAAAGCTTGTATTGACACATTATTTTAATATAAACTGTGAGTAATGGCCACCATCCATTTAATTGGTCACTTCAGCACCCAACTCCCATAGGTCTGGAGTGGGGTCAAGAAAAAAAAGCACACTCAAACACCTAGCGCATTATCCAAGGTTGATTAAAATTTTTAAAAAGGACAAAAAAACATAAAATTAGCGCATATAAAAGCCTATATAAAGCCACAGTGATGGCGAATTGGTGGCAGAGTGTCCGACTGGTGGTGTGGTCAGCTGCTGACGCGTTTTTCCTCTTTCCTCAGAGCTGGACTAGAGTGGGTCAAGCTCCTTGGATTTTGGGTCTCATCATGCCTTGATTAGAAGGTTCTCAAGTGGCTCCAAAGATATCATATCTGTAGCGTGACGTATTTACATTAATTTAAATTGTGAGTAATGACACCATCAAATTAATTGGCCACTTTCAGCACCCATCAGGGGTACTTGGGTAGCTGTTGGGTCCAATGAAAGCTTGTAAAATTGAACATTATTTTAAACTGTGAGTATAAACTGTGAGTAATGGCCCCATCATTATTTGGGCCTTTCAGGACCCAAATGTTATAGTTCTGGACACTTAATGGAGTGGGTCAGGCTCCTAGAAATTTGGGTCAATGTTGGCTTGATCAGAGGATCTCAGGTGGTTCACATCACTAATATAAGCTTGTATTGCTGGTGACAATTACTTTTACTTTAAAAATGGAAGCAGTGGCACCATCTGTTATACTTGGTCACTTCAGCACCCAGCTCTCAAAGTTCTGACACTTTATTGAGTGGGCCCCTTGAATTGTGGGTCATCATTGCCTTTGATCAGGGGTCCTCGGATGGCTTTGAAATATCACATCTATTGTGACTAACAAAAGCTGGTATTGAGCATTATTTTAATTCAGAGTATGCTCAATGACACCATGTATTTAATTTACCTCTTCAGCTCCCAAACCTCAAGGGGTTTTGGTGTGGGGCCAGGCTCCTTGAGTTTTGGGTCACAGTGCTTTGATCAGGAGTCCTCGGGGTGGATCTAAGATATCACATCTGTCGTGACTACTAAATGCACTAATTATTTTATTTAATATTAACTGAGTATTGGCACCATACCTTTAAATAGTCACTTCAGCACCCAACTCTCATAGGTCCAGAGTTGGCCAGGCTCCTTGAATTTTGGGTCACTGTTTGCTTTGATCAGGGATCCTCAGGTGTCTCTAAGATGTCACATTTGTTGTGACTAATAAAAGCTTGTATTGAGCATGATTTCAATTTAAACTGTGAGTAATGGCTCCATCCATTTAATTGGCCACTTCAACCC